TGGAAAAACAACAAAGGCACGGAACTCTGACAAGACCTGGTGTTGGCATCAAGGATCAATTTTACTGCGCTGGTAACTGGCTACATCAGCAGCCAATCAAAAGCCTGGGTGAGGTCACATGACTGACACGTGGTTAGTCACCCTGTGTGGATGGGGGTGGGGGGAACTGACACTAGTTGAATGTGAGTTTTTCTACCGATCCCTCGTCTCACAGCATCGTCCCCCACACCCCCACCCACCACCCGGGGCGGGGATGATGCGAACAGCTACTTGTTGATTGTGGTCTTAGTGTTTCTACCTACCCCACCCCCACCCCACCCCCCCACCACCCGGGGCGGGAATGATGCGAACTACTTGTTGATTGTGGTCTTAGTGTTTCTACCTACCCCACCCCACCCCACATTCTGACCTTAATTATCTCAGCGGTTCGTTAATCATGTCGTTAAAAACCCCACCCCCCCTTCCCCCACCCCGGAATGTCTTACCTAGATCCCCACCGTGCCACCATGTTTGATGAGCAGGCTATTAGACTTGCCATCCCAGAATTCTTTTCAAATGTCACATGAAAATCCATTGATAACGTCAACATAAATATTGCCATAAGGTGTGTGTGGGGGGGGGGGGGGGGGGTTAGGGTGGGGTGCAGTGGGGTGTAGTGGAGGGTGTTTATGACGCGGATAACGCGAGTTCAGTGTAGGAACATCAAATCAATTTCCATCTTTTGGAGGTCATTTTGTTGTTTTAGAGTGGTGGCCCTTGATACGTGGTTCAACCGGGCCGAGTCAAGGTCATACCTGGATGAGGTTGGTCTGTCTCTATGTCAAGGTCATACCTGGGTGGAGGTTGATCTATATCTGGGTCAAGGTCACATCTGGATGAGCTTGGTCTGTCTCTGTGTCAAAGTCATACCTGGGTGGGGTTGGTCAGTCTCTGGGTCAAGGGCACATGCGGGCGGGGTTGGTCTGACCCTGGGTGAAGTAGAGTGTATCGGTCTCATCACACTACATTTGCACGTGTCTTTTTTACACTTTAAACACCTGACTTGTGATTACTTACAATATCTGACTTGTGATGACTTATATCAAGAGCATTGTTGTGATGACTTACATCACGTGACTTGTTGTGATGACTTACATAACGTGACTTGTGAATCAAGTTCACCGCGGTCTTTAAGATCGTCTTCCACATTTCTATTTTTAGCTTTCACCCCCCCCCCTTTCCCCCGCCCCCACAGTCTACCCAGCAGTTCTAGACCAATCAAGTGTTACAGAGACGTGTACTGATGGTGACGGGATACGACAACTGTAGGGCTTCAGATCACAGGCCTATTCCATTTTCTGTTTGTTAAGTTGGTGCGTGGGTGGAGCTTGTACACTCCCTAAGTTGTGTGGGCGGAGCTTGTACACCCCCAATGTTGTGTGGGTGGAGCTTGTACACTCCCAAAGCTGTATGCAGAGTTTCTACCGCCCCCCACCCCCAAACGAAATGATATTATATAGAAAAAAAATATTTTTAACAGTGTCCGCCTCCCCCCGAAGAAAGTCTACCCCCCCCCCCCCCCAGAAAATTTCAAGTGCCCCCCCCCCCCCGGAGAAAAAAGTCTGGAAGAAACACTGGCTCTATGGGTGGAGCTTGTACACACCCAAAGTTGTGTGGGCGGAGCTTGTACACTCCCTAAGTTGTGTGGGTGGAGCTTGTACACTCCCAAAGTTGTGTGGGTGGAGCTTGTACACACCCAAAGTTGTGTGGGTGGAGCTTGTACACACCCAAAGTTGTGTGGGTGGAGCTTGTACACTCCCTAAGTTGTGTGGGCGGAGCTTGTACACACCCAAAGTGGGTGGAGCGCGTACACAAGGGATAGGTTCTGGCAACATGGTTTGATACATTCCAAATTACAAATTAACTTGTATCAACCATTTTTACTTTGAGAAAACAGTTATCAACCATGCAACACTCTACAACCCTAGAGCACATACAACCCCCTTACAACCCCACAACACGAACCGCTAGTATGTACACAAATGTATTTAGCCGCTGAAATGGCGTAAACATTTGTTTCGATTTACTTATAAACAAATTCATCGATTTACTTGTAAACATTTGTCTAGATTTACTGTAAACATTAGTTTAGATTTACTTGCAAACACTAGTCAACAGAAAATGTTAGTCCCTGGATGTTAAAACATTATATCCATAATTAGAATTTTAATTAGCCCATTCAGAATGGATGAACGAGACTCAGATTTGAAATGACGTCAGCAAAGCAAGCTTTTTATAGCACAACTGATCAAACCTTTGCCCTCGATATTCGTTGGCGATGGCTTTCTGTGTTTAATAACTTTTGGCTTCCAAGTTTACACACGACTTTTGCAGCAAGATTCCTCTTAGTAAAAGCTGGAAGATAGCACAGTTAACATGTACTGCACCTAATCTAAACGGAATTAACGCCACACACAAGCTAAACAGGGCAGTTAACACTCTCATTTATCTAGGGCGAATTTATCTTAAGCGGTGTTCCTATCTAAAACATCTCAAAACACCTAAAAACCAGATATAAAACAAAATCAGAAGCAACATCTAAAAACATCTAGATAACTAAATTTAAAACAAATCTAAAACCACTTTCAAAACCACATATTTCAAAGATTACCTCTTAAAAGAAATGACAGAAAAATTTTAAAAAGACGTTTAAATATCAAGCTTTTATGTAATAATGCACTAAAAATTAGATTAGAAAATAAATTATTTTATTTAAATATATAATAATACACAACTATTTAAATAACTATAAATAAAAGAACTTCAGTCTGTCTAACTCTAAGTCCACCCCACCATCTCCCCCAATCCAGTCTGTAAAGCTTTAATAGAACTTTCTAGCTAGCTGTGTTGGTGTGAAGATGGTGTGTGTGTGTGTGGAGAGAGGGATGTGTGTGGACGGAAAGTGCTCAAGAGAATGTGGGGAAGGGGATGGAAAGGTAAGGGGCGTGGTGTAGCAGACGTGAATAGTTGTCGGTCTAAATCTAAAAATAGCGATGAGATATTTCTGGATTTCTAGTTGATGACATGTGAAGCAGAAGTAATAGTTGCACACATTTGAAAGTTTGAAATTTCGTTTTTAAGTTATCGGCATCCACGTAACCTTGTGTATTTAATATTGGAAGAAGGGGGTGGTATATAAAATGACGTCACTTACTTATTGGTATATGTGTGTGCGTGAGTGCGTGTACGTGTACGCATACGCATATGCGTATACACATGCATATGTGTATGTGTATTTCATTATCTCTGTGAGTGTGTGTGTGTGTGAGTTGACGAATGTATGTCTTTTTTACCAGCTTTTATTTAGTTCGCAACGTCTGTTTGTTTGTTTGTGGGTTTGTTGCAAATCTTGTAACTCAATTTCTACCAACATCCAATGCAGCGATTTCGTTAAACCTTCCAGATACGTTCTACTTCGATGACAATACAAGTCTGTCTATTTTGTAATTTAATTAGATGTTTAATTAGTCATTAAAATTAATTAAACGGTTTTGGCACTAAGGTGAGATAACAAAATTAAATAGCTAGATAGATTACTATATTCAATTGCAGAAGGGGAGCAGAAGTGACCACCTTAAAAGTCTGGTGAGCTGTGTTCACGCGAATGTTTACAACCGTAGAGCCGGTCGATCTACTAAAGCCTACCAAAGGCTATTATTAAAATAAAGTTTTTAAATGATTTTGAGACTAAAGGGAGGTAAAAAATTAAGAACTTGCTGTTGACAGTAAAATACGGTCACGGACGGCTGCTTTTCAATGAGCAGATAATAATCTTTTAGATGTTGCGAGCTACTGATAGCGTCAGTTGCATTCGTGCAAGTGTTCATTCGGGCGTTTGTCGCATAAGGGTAAGTGTCCATTCGGGAATTTGTCCCATTCATGCAAGTTTCCATTCGGGCAAGTGTCCATTCGGGAAAACGGCCTTCTGGTAAACGGCATTCGGGCAAGTGTCTTTCGGGAATTTGTCGTACACATATTTTCCACTAAAATCGATACCCTAAATAACTTTAGAAAGATGTTTGTAGCCCTTACTGAAATCGATACCCTAAATAACTTTAGAAAGATGTTTGTAGCCCTTACTGAAATCGATACCCTAAATAACTTTAGAAAGATGTGTGTAGCCCTTACTGAAATCGATTCCCTAAATAACTTTAGAAAGATGTTTGTAGCCCTTACTGAAATCGATACCCTAAATAACTTTAGAAAGATGTGTGTAGCCCTTACTGAAATCGATTCCCTAAATAACTTTAGAAAGATGTTTGTAGCCCTTACTAAACAATCGGTCAGACCATCAACTCCTGTTTAAAAATCCATCAGGCTTTCGATTTCTCTCGCGATCGAATTACGAGATTACTAAAATTTAAAAAAATACGTCCAGTTTATAAAACATATACCCTAGCTATAGAACCGTCTTAACGCTGATTTTTTTTAAAATCGATATTTCCATCGATTTACCAATAAAACTTTTTGTGCGTCTTAATCGACTGTATAACATTCGATGTTTTGTTACAAAACAACCCGGGCTTGTTAGAAGGTGGTTGTCACTCAACCCACCCCTAGTCATCAAGCTACCTCAATTTGTAAATATTCAAAGTGGTTTCCCGCCAATCCTCTTCGGTGGAGGTTGTGTTTGGTGTCACCCCCCCCCCCCCATCTTCCAAGCCTTGTCAAGATTTGTCAATTTTGCTCTTAATTAAAAGACTTTAACTCTTATTAATCCTTTATTTAACTGGAATGATCATTTTTTTCTGTATATATGTTGACATTTTTTTTTGCTTGGTGTCACCGCCCTAAAACGGTGTTACCCGGTGCGGTCCGCACCCCCCCTCGCATACCTCTGATGTGTATACATACCCTTAGTGTGTCAGGTCAGTATCGTGTGTACACGCCCTTAGTGTGCCAGGTCAGTGTGTACATGCCCTTAGTGTATCAGCTTTGAATTCTGGAATCTTCTGTTTCAGGTCAGTCAGGTGCCAGTTGAAGCTGTCAGTTCCGGCGTGTCAGGTTGGCACTGTCACTCTGTTTAATTACGTCATCAGTGATACACATCGTGACGTCACACAAGTGCTCACCCACATTGTTTGATGACCACAGGTGAGTCACAGGTCAGGTGTAGCTGACTAACTGTCTGGCTAACTGACTGGCTAAATGTCTGGCTAAATGTCTGGCTAACTGACTGACCAAATGACTGGCTAATCAACTGGCCAACTCACTGGCTAACTAGCGAGCTAACTGTCTGACCAACGAATCCGACCACGATGATTTGACCAATCAACTGAGCAACTATTTAGCCAACTCAGTGACCAGCCAAAGGACCCACGGACTCTACAGCTCAACGGCTAATCTAAATCAACAGCTACTTGCCCCCCCCCCCCCATCGACCCCACCATCACATTTGCATCAACTGTCCCCAGGGATCCTCAAGGGTGCGGACACCCGGCAGGTAGGCGTCCCCGCTGTGACCATCGCCACATCCGTCAAAGTGTCGACCAATGAACGCACACACAGGCCACGCCTATCCAGGATGATAAGAGTTCCGTTTGAGGGGTGAGTACAGCATTACAGCCGGGCTGTTGGGCTGTTTCAGGCTTTTTCAGGCTGTTCGAAGCTGTTGGGCTGTTTGAGGCTGTTTGATGCTGTTTGAAGCTGTAGATGTGTTTGGTTGTTTGAGTCTGTTGAGCTGTTGATGGTATTTCAGGCTGTTTAATTTTGTTGGGTTTTTTATGCTGTTTGAGGCTGTTGGGCTGTTTGGGGTATTTGAGCCTGTTAATGGGCTGTTTGAGATTGTTTGAAGCTGTTTAATTGTTTTTATGCTGTTTGATGCTGTTTAATGCTGTTTGAGATTGTTGGGCTGTTTGGCTGTTTGATTGGCTGAGTGTACCAATCGAGGTGTCTGTTCAGTTCGCTGGTGCTAACAATGATTGTAGAAATTCACATAATGATTGTGGACATGATTGTATATATCCTACATCTACAAACTTCACTAACGTTTGAAAGTAAATACTGATTGTGGACATCTACACAGTGATTGTAGCCGTTCACTAAATGATTGTAGTAAACCAATGATTGTACATACCCGGTGATCGCAGACACATAATGTTTATATCTAGCCAATGTACACAATGATTGTAAAAATACAACGTGACCCTGTGACCTGATAGATATCATAAACCGGACCGATGACGTGAAGATATCGACCCAGGAACAAAGACAGACCCACCCCGGGATGAATGCACTCTTGCCCCTCTAACACAAGAGCCATTGAAAGAACGGCGGGAATCTATTCCTTGCTGGCGACATTGATCGTTCTGTGGTGGTCGGGTATTGGGTGTTGATGTCGTCACTGCTGTTGTATGTAGGTGCTGGATACTACCACACTCCCACACTCCATACCATACTCTACATACATACCTGACAGCTTCATACCCACCCCCTACAGCTTTAACCCCACCTCCTACAGCTTTAGTCCCACCCCTTCAGCTTCATACCCAACCCTCCAGCTTTAACCCAACCCCTACAGATTTAACCCAACCCCTCCAGCTTTAACCCAACCCCTCCAGCTTTAACCCCGCCCCCTACAGTTTCATACCCAACCCCAAACAACTCACCCATATGACCTACGATGAATCTATTGTTAGAATAATTAAAATACTAATTTACATTAAGAGATCCGACTCTCCGCCCAACTATATCCCAATTATCCTGCTTGTGATCCTTATAATCCCAGCTCACGTCTGCCCTAACTAATCCTCTAATCTACTTCCCCAACTCTCGCCCAACTCTCGCCCAACTCTCGCTCGACCCTCGTTTAACTAGCATTCAGCGTGCATACAACTTGTGGGACTGTAAGCAAATTGTCATTTAACCTTCGGCATGCCAAGGACTCAAATAAATGACCAAACGGAGGCTAAATTTGTCAGGAAATGACTAAAATAAATTACCCCAACTGACTCAAATAAATGACCCCAACAGACTCATATAAATGACCCCAACTGACTAAAATAAATGACCCCAACTGACTAAAATAAATGACCCCAACTGACTCAAATAAATGACCCCAACTGACTCAAATAAATGACCCCAACTGACTCAAATAAATGACCCCAACTGACTCAAATAAATGACCCCAACTGACTCAAATAAATGACCCCAACTGACTCAAATAAATGACCCCAACTGACTAAAATAAATGACCACAACAGACTCAAAAAAATTACCCCAATAGACTCAAATAAATGACCCCAAATGACTAAAATAAATGACCTCAACTGACCAATTTTACAGGGAACAGACTGAAAAATTATTCCCCCCCCCCCAACAGACTAAAAAAATATACCCCACAGACTAAATTCACCCCCACAAACAAAATCCCTGACTTTCTAGTGACGTGATTCCCTTGTAATTGTACGTGGACATAGACCAGCCCCGTTGTTTAAACTGTTGGGTCACTGGTCTGGTCTCATGATGTGACATTTGGACTTGGACACTTTAAACATAAACATTACAGGCCATCTGGTTTGTTTCTTAGACGTTGGTAGGGTTACATTAATATGGGGATCTGCCATGTCTACATTCGTATGTGTATGTGCCAGATGTGTTTATATTTGTATGTGTATGTGCCATATATGTCAACATTCGTATGTGTATGCTATTCGTGATTTAGGCTGGAGAATCGAACCCATACCAGCTAGAGCACAACCTTAAGGAGTTCACTTTAAACCAACCACCACTTAACTAACCGTCCTTTATTGAATCAAATCTCAAACAAATCTAATTTGTTCAAATCTTCATTAATTGTATCCACATAAAATTAATGAAACCTATTTAAATTATCTCTTTCCTAGTTCCTTCTACATAAATCCACAGTATCGTAAGCTATTGTACTTTCAATAGCTTTATCTAATCCATATCAGATCTATTTATAACCTCCCTAAATCTATTTTATTTAGCCCTTCTTTTATCAAGTTACATAAATAGCCCACACCTAAATCTACTTTATTTAGCCCTTCTTTTATCAAGTTACATAAATAACACACACCTAAATATACTTTATTTAGCCCTTCTTTTATCAACTTACATAAATAGCCCACACCTAAATCTACTTTATTTAGCCCTTCTTTTATCAAGTTACATAAATAACCCAACCCTAAATCTACTTTATTTAGCCCTTCTTTTATCAAGTAACATAAATAACCCACACCTAAATCAAACGTACTTTTATTAATTTTAGCTCACTTAATTCAGCCTTAATTAACTCTACCCACATCAGCTGTAGATTAATCAAGACTAGCCATCACGAAACAGCTTGACCTAATTAGTCAGTCAACAGCGAGCATCGATCCCCTGATATCAAATGTTCTAGTCCGTCATCCGTCATCCGTCATCCGACACACGACATTTTGCTGGACGACTCTTACGGACGTAGAGCTACAGCACGCTAGCGTTTCGCGATGGGTGGTTAGGGATGTCTGATGTTTTGACTAGTGGGGATTGTTACAAAACACGACCTAGTATATCAAAGAGGGGGGAGGGTTGTTACAAAATACGATCTAATTGATCAAGAGGGGGGGGGTTGTTACAAAAAAAGATCTAATTGAGGGAGGGGATTGTTACAAAACACGAACTACTAATTGATCAAGAGGGGGGGGGGGGGGAGTTTGAGTGAAAGATCAAAACTCATTTCCTAAAGGACAAATGTTTCGACTACTAAAAGCTGCTATTGTAGTTTTTTTTACCCCCCCCCCCCTCCTCAGCACTGTCACATGTCACAAAAAGCCAGACCCGCACTTTCTTTGAGATAATGTCATAGCTCAGCCCACAAACCAATCAAAATTGCAGTTTTTTTTTATTCCTTCCCAAAATACTCAGCTAAATTAACTGTGTACATTAAAGATTTTCTACTACAATTTATTTATACATTTTTAAAAATAACGGCTAAAATTCATTTTTTAAACGGAAAAATGTGTCGTCACACTTTTTGAACCGCCCCCTCTCACGTCACAAAATCCCCCCCCCCCCCCCCCCCCCCCCCCATGTTTGTGACGGCGTTTATGGGCGACCCTTCAGCTGTGTCAGCGGGTAACTAGGCAACTATAACCTTAGCTGGCAACTTGATATTTTATGCAACAATGAGAAATTGCAGGAGTTTTTGACGTCATGACGTTACTGTGATGACCGACGTTCATGACGTACAGACGTCACCATACCGTGACGTGTAACGGAGCTTTGCAGCTCAAGCTAAACCGTCAGTAAACAAACAGTCCGGTCGTCTATTTTAAGATTTTAATTATTTTTAGTCATTAATTAATGAATTGTGTGTGAACTAGCGCTTAGGCTGTAAACCACGACACGATAAAAATCTGTTCCATTCCTAAACGGGGCAGTTAATTACTCCTTTTTATTTATTTCTGACATGCCGTTTTTTGCCCCGTTTACGAACGGGTGCGCTAGATTTTGAAAAGATTATGAATGCGCTAATCAATCAGTGAGATCGATGAGGTTTCTATAGCCGGTACTGGGTCACCTTGACATTTACCTGCTGCACCTGGGCAGGTTGTCACGTGTGGACGTCAGCGGTAATATCGTTGTTATAAGTGTAACTATGATATTCCATGTATTAGAATTAAGACATCGGGATGTTTTTATATTGTAGCTCGTATTATATCAGTTTAAATATTTTAAAAACTACAGTCGCATATGTAGATAGATGGTAGCTAATCTGTACTGATAGTAAGAACGTAATTAAATTATTACTAAGTAATTTGTGAGGTTTCATCAGGTCTATATAGGGATCACGCAAAGATTATGTAACACAAAATATGACTTTTTATAACCACCATCTTAGCTCGTAAAAAGTTGTATAAAATTTAAATTAATCATCACGATCCAGTTTGGTGCTACAAAAAGTAATTTAAAACGATTGGAATCTCATTATTTTAGACAAAATCACATCTTTATTCTAACAAGTTGTAAAATATGTATCTTGTGTTAACATAAAATTAACCTGTAAGCCAGCCCTCACCTTTTTTTTATCCCACCATTCTAAATGGAATTATTTTACTAAAATAAAAATATATCAAATGTTGTGTTATGTAACGCAGCTGGATTACACCACCACACTCCATATAACACAATCTAACGATGTGATGAACCACTCCAACTCCATATAACACAATTTACCCAAAAGATAACCCCCCCCCCCCCCAACCAAATGAGCGGTGTCCTTTAAAAAATTGACGTAAGTCAATATGACGTGCCGTCTGAGCATTTCGACATGTATTCTCGGCGTCATGCACTAACGACGTCAGTCTGTAAGATGCGCCCATCCAAGACCGCCCCCCTCCACCCCACCCCCAAACGTGACTTTGACACGCTAAACACCCTGCTCGCCTTTTGCCAGCATTGATCTCAGTTCCAGACTTTGATGGCCTTGACACCTGACCTTGAGCCCTAGACCCCTGACAACAAGATCTTCAACCAATTATTAGTCTCTTGAACTAGTTTAGTTCTTTTAAAACAATGTTTGCCTTGTGCTATATTTATCCGCC